GTTTTTTCCTCTCTTTTCCCCCCCGGTCCCCCCCCCCCCCCCCCCGGGGGGGGGGAGCGAGCGAGCGGCTGGGTGGTGCATAGTGGCTGGCTGGGGTTAAACCACGACAGGCACCACGCTGCAACCCACCGTACCACAGCTTGGTCCGAGCAGCTGGGGGATCCGTGCCGGACTGCTGGACAGCGCGATACACGGCGAGGACAAGGGTCTGACCCTGCCAGACCCAGCAGCGTCATCCGAAATCATCTTACAAAGCTTCAAGCGTTCCCATTTTGTGAGGAAAGCCGACTAGAGAGCGCACACCACGTCAGCGCTGCTCTCCCCTCAAGGGGGAAAAAAAGGAAGAAAGGGAAAAAATCAAACTCCGAGAACCTACAACGCATTTCATCTAGGTTTTGATCAAGGCGTACGAGAACTCGGGACGAGGTTTTGGCCGAGCCCCACCACAGCTTGGTCTCAAGCCCACGCTCCCTCTGCCCCTGGGGTCCCCAGGCCGCTGCCCCACGCAGGGGCTGCTCCACGCAGCGGCTGCTCCGCCACCCCAGGTCCCAGCCCCTCAGGCCAACACCACCCTGAGACCAGGGGATCGGCAGCATCTCGGGGAAAAAAAACCCCGGGTGCTGGGGCTGAGCTCTCCTCTGCCATCTAGCAGGGACAGCTTCCCAAAGAGGGAATATTCGGATCCAGACAGGAGGAATTTTTAAGTTTACAGCATGGGCTTCAGCTCTGGGGAGGCATAGTGTTAGGGGCGTTAAAAATCGCACAGGTTTCCTGACCTACCTTTAGACTTCTGTACGTAAAGTGGCCTTTCTTAAGCAACCTTGGAGCGGGAAATTGTAACCGTTGTGCAGTGAACCTTAACATGGAACTAATTTAGAGAGACACTAAACCATTTTATAGATTTGGATACTACGGAGAATTTCCAAAGCAGAGACTTCATGTAGGAAAAGCTTGTGCTCATCAGCTTCCCAAGAGACGACTGCAAATCCAAGACTGATTTTCAGTTAATCACAAACACCAGGATTTCCACATATTCCAGGGTTCCACTTGCACCACGGAAGGCATTTGAAAAGCCACATGAGGAAGCAAAGCAAATATTGCAATCAGATCTCGCTTTCAACACTTCCGTGGCAGAGGACTACAGTAGCGCAACAAGGCTCGGAAGGTTTATTTTGGCTCTTTTCGGAGCAACTTTAAGTGTTTTTGGGGTTGTTTTTTTTAATGGTCACAACAAACTCAGCTCAGAAGGCTTTTATTGTCAACAAAACGTATCAAGAAGTTGATTCAACATGGGAGAGGGAGTAGTAGCTGTGGTTCTTGCGTGGGAAAACAAGTCTTTTCCCACTAGAGGTCTATGAGTACGACAGCAAATTAATTGCAGAAATAAGCTAATCAGAAGCACAGACACCAGGGAGGACAACGACACCTTACGAGTAAAGAGTCCTAGCGCTTGATAAAGTAATTTATCAAGATCGTGCTTTTTACAGAATCAAAAAGCAAGCTTCACATGCTTGCGCCTCATTTCCATCACACCGAATGATCCTTTTCACCCATTTTTATTCCAACTTCTGTCTTGTCTTCGGCACCTCGATCAGCGTGCTGAGCACGCTGCTGCCTGATGCTGCTTATCAAAATTTCTCAGGTTAAAAAAAAAAAAAAAAAAAGCACGATACAAAACACACCTGACCAGTGCAGTTCCCGATCTTTGCACTTCAGGTGATTTCTGGAGAGGAGACAGATGCTTCTCGGGGCGCTAAGGGTGAAGATGTTGGGCAACGTTAGCCACGGCGCTGTAATATTTACAAAAGCAGATCGCAGGAAGAGTTACTATGGAAAAACAAGGAACCTGATGGGAGAGATGAGTTGGATGCTAAATTTAAAGAGCGCGGGTATCCTGCAACACCAGCCCGAGGTAAAGGAGCCTCCTGAAATCTTGAGCTCCGTACGGCTTTAAGAAGCCAGCGCCTTCCCAAAAAGTGAGTCATTTCAACGGTTTAAAAATTAATACTGTCGGTTTAACTGGTAAAGGAGATGGAGTGTGACAGAGACAGAGAAGCTGGCAGCTCCTGCAAGAGCCACAGACTGGCCTGCGCAGCGCCGCTGACCTGCCCCGTCAGCCTTTCCAGCGTTACTCAACGAGGGGCCCCCAGTTTAACTGGCCCGGCCGAGGCGGATTTTCACACACCGTAGCCGATGTACACAAACATAGCTCAAAAATGTTACTTGCAACACAGAATCGGTTCGAGCACGGCGAGAACGCCCACGCCAGAGGCATCGCCGCCCTATGGGGTGGCAATGGAGGTGTAGTAAACTCATCAACACCTACGTTTGCTGCCTACAGCACAGACTTAAACGTATATACAGACACCCACGCCATTTATTGGGCTCTAGGGAGGGGCAGCAGTGCCTCCCTGCTCGTTGTGTGGATGAGCGGGCAGCGTTACACCGTGCCGCTGCGCTTGCCAAACGGTCCGAGGAAAGACGATTTGTTTTGACAGCTCTGGTATCTCAAAATTACCTCTGGTAACTCCAAATTCACAGTCAGCGCTGTCGAGGGTCGGCGCAGGTCCCTGCCGAGCCCCAGTATGTAAAGACCGAAAGTTACTGCTCCTTAGGGACACTCCAGGTAGACAGAGGACGCACAAAAGCAGTATAAATAAATACAAACCCCTCTACGTGGCTCCACCACCACCAAGGCTGTGCCATTCTTGGCGATGAATATCTCCTGCAACAGCCCGCCTTCTTCTAATGATTTTATCACTTGCAACAGCCAAGAGAAAAACCAGTATTTCCTTTTGAGTTCAAAAAGTAAAGCCCATCAGCTCAATAATATGTCCAAATTCACAAGTAAAACGTACTACAGGCAGTAAGCAAACGTGCATTTCCTTATTCACAGGCTAGAATCCCCCTAAACCAATGCGAATTAAATCGTTCACCTTCTCTTTAAAAAAAAAAACACCGAAACCCACACACAAGCAAACTCAAAACACCCTCAGACTCCCAAACTGCACAAGGATTGGGAGAAAGCCAAGCTGTTGTTTTTAGCACTAGTATAATTTAAAAAAAAAAAGAAAAAAAAAATATTCTGCAGATATGATGCTTCTGATCATTCTGGGCGACTTCGCAAAGATTAACTTACCTTTTCTTGCTGGCAGGGGGTGCACTGAATATGGGGTAGACAACGGCATTTGAAGGAGATGCTGGAAAAGACGAGCAAAGTTACTGTGGTTTAGAATCCTTTTCAGTTGCCGAACACATCGATAGAGAGAAACAGAAATTCAAACACTGATGAGAACTCAAAAATGACATGCAAGGGTGAAACTGAACTCTATAGACAAGTGCTTCTAAGAGTACGGGGTTGACGCTGCAGGATATAAAGGTTACGTCCAGGCGTGGTACCCAGCATTAATCACCTTCAATCCACGTCAGGACACTGATCAGGCTGTCGGGTGCTTTCCCTTCTCACATTGGAATGATGAAGAACTATATAAAGCAGAAATTTCTGCTGCAGTAGGTTAGCGTTTCCTTGGCTATTAATTAAGAGTGTTAATCAAGCAGAGGTCTCTCCGTTTTCCAGTATTTTGGCTAAGGCAGCCCGAACCCACAGCTTCTTCATCCCAGAGAAGCTGGGAAATGACGGGCTCAGCACTGGGTTACAGCACACAAGCTGCAAGTTTTAGGATAACTTCACAAAGGCTTTGGTAAGTAAAACCAAGCAAATTGTTAGTTAGGAATATGTTTTCCCTCTAGTGTAAAAAGTTTAGGTACTAGACTGCTTTATGCTCTCCTATTTTGGCTGCATTCACAAATAGACAGAGACTTTGTAGGAATTCCAGAAACATCGTCAAGCACAGAAGCATAAAAATGGCCCTAACAGCCTCCAAAAACCATAGCGTGAAGATGAACCCGTTGTTTCTAGGGAACAGGACACAATAAAAAAAAGTCTCTTGTTAAAATCAATAGTGGAAAAAGATCGTGAGGAGTCATGAAGACGACACTAATAACCAATAAAAAGCCTACGGCTTCCTAGAAATGCAGGATCTTGGAGGGCCAAGACACTTCTCGGGAGAGGGGCCCCAGCAGGCAAATAACGTTAGGCAATTTTTGGGAACGCGATGGCAACAGCTTTATAAACAGGTGGAAAACACAGTAAGAGGAGTCTTTTATCCAGAGCTGGAGGCGGCAGGAGAAGCGGCTGGCAGCGGGGAGCACGGCACTGCTCGGAACAGGGGAGGCAGAGCGGAGAAAGGGTGACCTTCAAGAAAACAGACTTCCCAAAGTTCCAAAAGCGGATAAATAAGCTCCCACGGGAAGCAAGAGTAAAGGGGAGGGGTGGGGAGAAAGCTCAGGAGTGCTGGTGATTTCTTCGAGAAACAGATTAAGACCAGATGTGCCAGAAAGAAGGGGAGTAGGAGACAAACACGGCTGAAGCATGACTTCTTCTCTCACTGGAAACTCGAGGAATCCCACTGGGAATAGAAATCAGGGGGAAGCAGAGCAGCAACACAAAGGCCTGAAAGCAGAAACGCCAAAGTGCAAAACGAGCTCTACCTGGGAAGGTCCCCGTGCCGGGAAAGCAGCCTGTGACAGCAGGGGGAAAACCCAGGAGCTGCAGGTACCGAAAGAGGGGGAAACGCTAGAACCAGATGACAAAACCTTTACTGCCTTTTTATTTCAGCCATCGATAAAAGAATTAGTTGTGACGAGATCGTTAGCACAATTAAGACACAAAGGAGAGAGGAACTTCCACAGCTGGGGAAAGATGTAAAGAGAACTCTCGGCTAAATTAGGCCTTTTCAGACCAGCAAGGACTGAATTAACCCAGGGCAGCGCAGGCTGAATAGCAAATGCTGCCTATTTTTAAAAGGGAAAAATGGAGAAACCAGGAAATTCAGATAAAATAACATGACCTCAACTTCTGCAAACATACTGGCACATCTTAGTGCATACTTGGAAGATGAGACAGCAGGTAGAGGCCAAGACATTATTTTGCCTTAATAAAATAATATTTAAGCAATATATTTTCTTTTTATTATCACTTGTTATTCCCAAGAAGAAAAATAATAAGTGTCTTAAAATGAATATATAACTTCTGAAAATTCCCTTGCGTTAGTAGGGAAATATCGTCTCTGTAAACCAACCATAAGAAAGGGGGCAAAGTTGACTCAGGGTCAAAAAAAATATCATATTCAAATAATTCTTGTTAAGAATTCACTGCCGAAACAAAAACTATAAAGTGGAGTTTCCTCGGTGACCATCAGGAGCAAACAATAATATATGCTTATAGCTTTGTAGATAACAGCTAGCGCATAGGGGCATTAAGAGTTTAATTTTAAAAGCATTCTTACATTGAAAATGGGCAGAAACAAGTTGAAATAAGGAGCAGGGGAACGGCTACACTTAAACGGGGGCAAAAGAAGAGCTGGCGGTCGAGCCTCTGGGCAGCAGCTGTGTGTAAAACACTCGGGGCAAGGGCTGCCTCCAGCCAAAGGCGTCTCGCAGACACACAGTTTCCTGTGGAAACGTAGGCGATCGCCGCGTGTGAAAGGTATTCATTAATCCCTTCCTGCTAATGAGTGCTGGCAAGGCTCTGGTGCGGTTCGGTTTGGGAGCACCGCACCAGGAAAGACATGGCTCAGTCTGGAGACAAGAAAGAAATGAAAAAGTCAGAGGCCTGAACATCAAGATTGAAAAAGGAAAGCTGAAAGGATCAGGGTAACCGTCCAGGGAGAAGAGAATGGGGAAAAAACACCTAATAATAGGATTCAAATACAGGAATTTCCCAAATCTTACTGGGAACGGGCTATGCAGTAAAGCAAAGAGGAAAGATAGGTTGGCCATCAGGATAAAACCGATTTACACACTGCTTAACGCTAAAACACATTTGTCGGGGGGACAGCAGAATCTCCATCGTTAGCGTCCAGCTTATTAAAACACGGAACGATAGGACAAGATGGGAATTCAGCAGAGTCGATCCTGCTGGGGAAAAGCAGGCAACTAAGGGGTTTTCAAAGTCTCTTCCGCCTCCTTTTCCTACAGCAACAAAAGTCACGGACCAAGCTATGTATAATCCAACTTACCGCGCTTATCCACCATACGCGGAGACTGGCTTGAAGGAATAACGCAATCGTCGGACTCACAGGCTGTCGAACCGATTTCATCAATGTCCTATAAATCAAGACAATTTTTTTTTTTTTTTTTTAGGGCAAAAAGAAAACGCTCCCGGTGATTAAGTTCTCAGACAGCAGCTACGGAATCGCATATAGCTAAGCGACCTTCCCAACGAGCACGAACCGCCGCGATGAAGTGCTACCAGCGGCGGTATTTGCCCATAACAAAACGCAGTTTTAGCAGACGGCCCGTCTCGCCGTTATTGAAGTTACACCTGAATGCCGAATTTGAAAACGTGGCTGAAAACCTTGCACCCCAGCACCAAGGAAAAAAAAAAATCACGTCCTGCGGGTTACTCGCAGCCTCAAGCAGCGTCATCGACATTTCTCCTCTGCCTGCCTTTGACTACGGTAAGACCAAGTTGTTGACAAACAATTATCATATTTTTTGATTCTCAACACCCACTTACGCCCCTGCTTTTGTTTTAGTGCGGGATGTGGGTTTGGGTTTTTTTTTTCTTTTAAGTAAATCTTAACTGTAGAGGTTTGTATCATTTCTTCACCTCCGCATTTCTGGGACTCTGCTCCGTTCTCTGCCTACAGCCGTGCATCTTCACAGCTTTTGGAAGCCTCTCGCAAACATTCTGTCAAAATGAAAGTTTGCCAACCTGATTTTTGCCTTGAGCTCTGCTCTTTTTGCATATGACGGTGTATTATTTGCCATCTCATCAGGAACGCTAGACAGTCACGAGGTAAAGCAACCGGCTGTAGCAGAACCCGAGAGGAGATCAAGGCCAAACTTGGTCTGCGTTCAGTTTGCAGTGACAAAATCACTAAGTTCCCTTTTCAAACGCTACGTGCTTCTGGTTAACCTCTCAGAAACAGTTTGCCAGCATAAAAAGCTGCCATTGCAGCAGGATCCCATGCTTTCAAGTTATTTTTTGGTTTTTGGGTTTTTTTACTGCACGTGCAAGATGAGATCGCACAAGCCAACATTTGTGTTTTATTAACGCTGCGTTGTAAAAACATATTGACAATCAAGTCGGGAATGTGAGCGAGATACTAAACCAGTGCAGGTGAACAAAGGAGGCAATAAACTGTCCTTTATTGAACCGCCACAGGAATATAAAACACATTAGCCCTATAAAAACAGCTTCCCATCTTGTTCACTGCTTCCTTTCAATGCCTAGTATAAAATACTACGGTAGTATGCCACTGGCTTTTCCTAGTTTCCTACATTTTTAGATGCCAGAATGCAACAGCAAAATATGACGTTAAGCCTAACAAAATAGCTCGCGAACCTGTTCCGAATTTGTATTTCACTGCTGCGCTCGTTCCGGTGCCGCCCTTGCCCTTCACACCTAAGCCCCGTGTTAAAAAGCAAAATCCACATCCCAAGCGAAACAATTCTCTGGCAAATCGTAAAATTAAAAGCCAGGGCTGGCAAGCATTAACTGGGTGGCAATAAGCGAGACTCATTGCAAAGTTTAACCATTCCAGCACTGCTAAACATATTTGCACAAGAATTAAATGTATGTTTAAAAAAAAAAAACAAATAAAAAACCCAACAAGACAGCACTTTTCTGTCACCAGGAGTATTCACTGCTAAGGCAGCAACAGATAAAAATGGCTTATACGTCTTCAGCGATATACAAAAAGGTTACAGTTCTTCAAACGCAGACCGGCTCAAAAAAACTCATTGTTGGCTTGTTAAAGCATGAGAAGCGGGGGCTTCGTCTCGCTTCCCTGGAGAAGGGAGCCGCAGAACTAGCACACGTAGTCCCTGCTGAGAAAGTAATCGCTAAAAAGCTAACCCCGGACCAGCCCAGCGCCTGCTAGCGCCGCTTGAATTACACCAGCCGGCAACGTCTTGTGACCCAGGTGAAATCTCTAAATAAAGACACTCTAGAAACAATTTTGCTTTCTTTGTCCAATTACTTCACCGGCTGGGGAAAAACAAGAAACTCTTGAGAGGCCCCTCCTTCCCCCAGCTTTGAGCAGTAACGTTTTGAAGACAGAGGCGTTATCTAGGGAGAACGCCCACGGTGCAGGCTCACCGCCTCCCACAAAACTCAGCAAGGTCAGACTCGGCATTTGTTACATTTATTAAAACAGAAGGGGGAAGAAAAAAAAAAAAAAAGGACATTTAAAAACTTCTTTTTCAGCTTTGCCCTTTATCATAAAAAAAGAAAAAAGATAGATGTTGTCTTTTGCAAACGCATCATGCAGAAAGCTTCCCTTTCAGCTGCCGTAAATGGAATATTTCACTGCAACCACGAGGGATGCTGACAAGAATTTCCTGAAAGTTTACCATGGTTTTATGCCTTCATAAGGCAGGAATAAACCTGTGAAAGTCTTCCTCGGCAAAATCCACTAATATATCTAAATAAACACCCTATGTCCGAATAACCGGAGCGTGTGTTACTTGCAGCTTGCTCGGCAAGCTCTGCACGTGTCACCCGAACGCCGGCGCGGGTCCCGGTGACACCTCTACATACCACGTTCTCTGCGTCGCCGTCTCCCGCCGCTGCAGACCTGGAAGCGCAACCACTTTGCTGCGGAGACGTTTTTCCTTCACGTGCCGAATCGCTCTCTCGATTCGCACAGTTTGTAAAGTCCTCCCCGTTTTCGTTTTCCTTCTTCCGAGGCACAGAAATACTCCTCAGTGCACCACCCGCCTCGAGAGCTTTGTTTCTGTCGGCCGAATCGGACTTCGTAGTTGGCGGTGGTCCGGGCTGATCATTTTCTTGCAGAGATTTGGGGAGACCCTGGAGAGACTTAGCATCTACAACTGGTTTTTTAGAGTGCGATTTCTTCCTGGCAGAAAAGAACGCTGCTCCCATCTGGAGTTTCAGGGCCGGTTTAACTGTCATGCTTAGGACTCTGAAGGGTGAATCCATCTTCTTTTTAATCAGGCAGTTCACATTCTCTTTCTCCACACTGGGTTTTCCCGCTGGTAGCTCTCCCTTTGCCTTCTTAAGCGTTTTGGGGACAGTTTTGCCATGCTTGGAGTTGGTTGCGTGCTTGGTTGGCTTCGAGCTTGTATTCCTGCTCACGTTTGTCTTCTCAGTCCCGCTGGCAGCTGGGAGACTTTCATCCCTGTTCCTCTCACCCAAAGAGTGGTTCTCATTCAGTTGCTTCCTCTCAAGAGGAGTAAGGTATCGCTTTTCCTTGCTATAAAAAGACACCGCAGGCACGAGGGGCTTGTACGAGGCAGCGGTCTTCGGGGATAATTTCCCTGAGGACTCGGTCTGCACAGCTGCGGGAACGCTGGCTGCCTGAGGGGGTGAAATATCCAGCCTCCTCGACAGCACCGGCTTCACCGGGCCAGCCTCATTTTCTTTCATCTCATCACTGGAGCTCGAGGACCATTTTATTTGGGAAGCAAACCGATGATTTCTCAATTTCTGGAGCGGAGACAGACCTTCAGCAAAGCCTATCATCGCTTTTTTCACAGGAGTCTCAAAGGCTAAGGATGATCTGTAAAAATAATTACGGAGAAAAACATCACGTATACCATTGAAGCTTTTCAATTACCGTTTTACTTAAATAACACTTAATTTTCACTCAACTTAGTTGCCTGTACTGGTGCATGCCCTGGACCAAATACAAATACCAAAACATAATATACAAAGGGCCTAAGACTCTCGCCATTCTCCACATAATGATGTTTTGAAATAGCAAATCTCTTTTCCTGCCTGAACTTGTTAAAGCACCTGGGAACAAGAGTCATTCTGCTTTCTGGAACGCTGCTGACAGGATCAGCGCTATTCATGATTAAGGAGAAAAAAAAACAAACAAAACAAAACCATGTTTGATTTGTTTCAGGCCAACGCTGTCAACTCAATTTGTGCCTCTGAAAAAGCTTGTGCACCCCCCAGCCCCGAGCGTAAGACTGATAAAGCCAGGGGGGAATCGCACGCTATTTTACAGCGGTTTCTGAAAGGCACGCACTGAAATCTCACTCCGACAGCTATTTCAGAATCTGAAACCTCATCAGTAAATCACTCATAGCTTCTCAGCCTACCACCTGAAAAGAGAGAATACATTTACATGAAGGCCGCGTTCAGCCGGTCCTGGTTGTAACATATTTGGCACCTGACGCGGCGAGGCGTTTCCTCAGCGAGCATTTACACCCTATCTCAGGAATTTGTCCTTCCGAGTCAGAAAGCAAACTTCACTCTTGGTCTCCCCTCACTCCAGAAATATTTTTGTGGGGGAAGGACAGGACAAGCATGAGAAAAATCTGTTTGGCGGGTAGAGTTATGAAAGAACAAGAAACAAGCTATTCTTTTGGATTTAAAGCTCAGCTTTTTTTTTCATGGCCAGTGGCTTATCCTCCACTTTTTTTGGAAGGATTTGGGGGGGAATCTATAATTTTTTTAAGTATACATAACAAAGGAACTATTTTTCTATTAACACTAGAAGACTATTCAGATAATTTGTGCAGACCCCAGTATTTCTATACTGTGTATCAAAGTCTTTCCAAATGGGAGAGACTGAGGCTTTACCACAAAGAAATGCAAACATCGGGGGGGTTATTTCTTCAGTTTCTAAACAATCAGTTTTCCGGTTTCTCCTGGTTTTCCGACTTCCTCGGGGCTAGGTCTGTGCCTGAATGTCATGTACAGGGATATGCACTTGACAGAGGTAACTGCCAAAACAAGATACTTTAATAAAAGAAAAAAAAAAAATAATAATGCCCTAACACAAACTAACGCAACCTACTAACGTGGGCCTGCAAAGTATCTGCTCAGCGTAAGGGCTTTTTCTCATGTCTAATTCTGTGCTACGCTACAGACTGAAGATCGTTCTTAGCTTCGGTTTCCCTGTACGTTAGCTGAAATCTCTCAAGCTGCTCAGTACAACACAAAAATGAGACAAGTCACTGAATAATAAACATGGGCTGATGGTACTGAGTCTCAGAACCACCCTAATTTTTTTTCCACTTTACGTTAAAAGCGCTCAAGGATTTTAAATGTCTATTTTATTCCATGCACAGCAATTAAGGGGGTTTTATTAGGGGAAAAATAAAATCTGTGAAAAGTTAACATACCCATCGGTATGAGTAGAACTACGGCTCCTTTTCCGTGTGGTAACAGCTGCCATGTCTTCACCAGAGCACCTACAAGAATGCATTTTTAATAGCTTGAAATAGATTTCCAGTAAAAAAAACCCACAAAACTAAACAAAAACAACTTAGTAAGGAAAGAAGAGAAGGTGGGGGACTGGAAAGAACACACGGAATGGAAGCAGTTCAGGCATGACAGAGACTAGAGCAACACAGGGCTGTGTTTGAGTTGAGCGTAATCCGTAAAACAAGTGCCCACAGAGGAGATCTTCCAGGTCAAGGCCAATTCTGTCATCACGGACAAACGCATCCTAAAGTCCCTTTTCTAAAACGGAGACAGATGATTCAGAAACGAGTTTTACTTTCCATCTCTCACATTCCTCTGGCAAAGCTTGTTCCAGACCTCACCGACACGGTTCCTAGAAACCTGCCTGCTCCTGCCTATATTCACGGTCAGTTTATTCCCGGGAGGATTTCATATTGGCATTTACCTTCCAGCCAAGGCAGCTCTTTACCCAACAGAATTCTAGTTTCTCTCCCAGCTCCCTTCTTCCCAAATACCATAAACCACGCTTTTTTAGCCTTCATTAACACAGTGGCCATTTAAACCAGTTTAACACTCGACACTGTTTGTTCCATCTCTTCCCATTTGAGATAATTCTGGTACAGTATCTGCTTTTGTGTTATGTGGCGTTTCACAACTGAAACTCCAGAGTAAAGAAATATCCTGTATCCAGGAGACCGAATAATAAATATTCGTAAACTGCTAGGACACCACAAAGAATAGTTTATTCAATAACCTGCCAGCAGGGGGAAGTTCCTCCTAACCTGCCCGCGTTAACTCGTTGCTGGTTTTGGGGAGGCGGTGACTGGTGACAGCCCAGACGTGACAAGCTGTCCTCAAGCCCAGGAACACGAAGGGCGCAAGCGGTGGCAGAGGAGCGAGCCAGGAGCTGCGTAGCTGCAGCAGCAGGCGTTGTACAGCCTCAGCGCAGAGCGGCGCTGGTAGAGGGGAACTTCAAGAGGCAATGCCTTAGAGGCACAGGGCAACAAGAAACAAGCCTGGTACCTGGGGAATAAGATATCAGGTGCAGGTGGAAGGGAGAAGATAAGACAAGGAGAGGCTGTTGGTAGGAGAGCTGAGGTGCAGGTGTGGGGGGAGCAATCCTTACAACTTGCCCCAGGAACCTGAGGGTCCCATAGACAGCTCCCTGCCGGCCCCAGCCACCTGCACTCCTTCCCAAAATGTCCGTAGCCCAGCTCCCAGCCAGCCCCTCACTCCAGAAGCCCCGCACCTCAGTATCACATCAGACCTTAATCCCCCAGGCACCCTGCACCCTGCTGGGGCACCGGCCCTTACCCCAGCACCCTACACCTCCCCCACCCCCCACGACCTAACCAAAGCGCCCCACACCCCCAGAAGCC